TCCATATCGGGAAGAAGCTCGAGGCTTACAAATCTTCGTCGGGGCTGGACTTGAGGACTGGAGACTACTCGCTGGTCGTGGAGGAGCGAAAGGTGGTGATGTACGTGAACAACACGATGGAGCAGACGCTGTCGAGCTACGCAGCCTGGTCTTTGAAGAGCGATGTCAATGCCACCATCGGCTGGCTCAAGTTTTCCAAGACGAGAGATCTCCTCGCAGTGTTCTCCGCCAACTTCACCATGCTCGACCGGACCAAAGTGAGGACGAAAAACAGGACCTTGCGTTTCATGCGTCTGGAACGCGATGGAAGCTTGAATCTCCACTTCGAGACCGGCAAGCCATTTCCTCTCAACAAGAAGCTCCAGGGGAGTAAGTTCCAGGTTCCTCTAGCGGGAGAGTGTAGCCTTCCATTCAAGTGTAGGAGATACGGGATTTGCTCGGGGAATGGAAATTGTAGCTGTCCCTCGGAGGACTTTCGTGGATCGAAGAGAACTTGCGAGCTTCGCCGGCCGCTACTTTGCAACAAAAACGCAAGCTCGCAGCGTTTGATCCGGCTGGAGAACACGGACTACTTCTCGACGCAGTTTGACGCAGGAATTCCAGTGAGCTCCGTGGACGAGTGCATGAAGCTGATCGTGGAGAACTGTTCCTGGGACGTTGCCATCTTCAAAGACGTCCGGAACAGGAGCCTGTGCTATGGCTTCCGCAACGTTCTCTCGCTCATCAACGTCACCGGCAGCAGCAGCGCTACCTCGCTAGCCTTCATCAAAGTCGAGAATCCTCCGCAGTCGAGCAGCAGTAGCGGACGACAAAGACGACGAAGAACAGCAATGTGGCTGGCGGTATCTCTCGCCATCGCCACGCTTGTGCTCGTTCCACTCGCGCTGCTCTACTTGCGGAGCCTGTCCAGGCAAAAGAACGTGAGTGACGAGCTCCTCGAGTCCATCCCGGGAGTTCCACGGCGGTTCACGTTCCTGGAGCTCAAGAACGCCAGCGCCAACTTTAGCCGGAAATTGGGACGGGGGGGCTTCGGCACGGTCTACCATGGAATGCTGGAAGACGGCACCAAAGTTGCAATCAAGCGGCTCGAGAGCTCCCGAGGTGGCGGAGACGACCAGTTTCGAGCCGAGGTGATCGCCATCGGCAGCGTCCACCACTCCAACTTGGTGAAGCTCATCGGTTTTTGCTGCGACGAGCACAAGCACACGCTCCTGGTCTACGAGTACATGCCAAACGGATCGCTGGATATGTGGATCTTCGCTCGAGACGATAACAACTTCCTCGACTGGAGAACTCGGTCCAAGATCGCGCTTGACATCGCAAAGGGTCTCTCGTATCTCCACGAAGGCTGCGATCAATCCATCCTCCACCTGGATATTAAGCCGCAGAACATCCTTCTCGACGTGGAGTTCAAGGCCAAGATCTCCGACTTTGGCCTCGCCATCTTCGCTGCCAAGGGATCCAACAATCTCCGCGACACGGCGCTGCGAGGAACTCCCGGATACATGGCTCCCGAGTGGCTGCGCTGCGAGGTCTCGCTCAAGATCGACGTCTACAGCTTCGGCATCGTGCTACTCGAGATCGTGAGCGGCAAGCAAGCGCTCGAGTTCCTGGACGCGATCGACCACCACAGCGATAGCGACGACGATCATCGCCCTTTCCACGCCGAGCAGAGCGACCTGGTGGAGCTGCTCGACCCCAGGCTCAAGGGATGGAGCTACTCGAGCAGCGAGGTGGAGAGATTCGTGCTCGTTGCGCTGTGCTGCATCCAGGACGATCCATCCGCCCGGCCGGGCATGGGCAATGTCGTCAAGATGCTCGAGGGGAATCTCGCGGTTCCCGACCCGCTCATCAGCCAGAGATACCAATCCACGGCAATTCCATTCGGAATCGCGAGCTTCCTCGCCTCTAGATTGCGATCCAGCAAGAACACTCATTAGAATGGACTCTTTGACCAGACGTTGGCTATCGTGGACTGATCGAACATTTTGACTGACTTTGGACTGGCACTGTGATTGCGTGGGCGTTGCGTACAGTGGGCGGGGCATACGTATTTATGGACATTGGTACTACAGTCCTTTCGGCGATCAAACTGGTCCTACCAGAACAAACGATGTAGAAATCTTCGTTCTCTGTGTTTTCTTGCGAGCGAGCATCTTTGCTGTGCTCAACAAAGGGAATCAAAGCGCCCTCCCTTCTTTCTTTTCACCTTTCCAATCCGGAAGACTTCTTTTGCAATGCAATGTAGCTCGCTGCTGTTCCAGATTTTGTCTCCTTCGTGGTCTTTGATCAATCCCTCTATTCTTCCTCGTCTCAATGGCTCACACCAAACGAGCTATCTAGCAAACAGTCACTAGATTTGCTCTCCCTCCACATCAATTCGATGAAATCAAGGCGAGGAAGCCTCGGCGCCACGGGCGGGGGCCAGCAAATCCTCCAAATCCACCACCAGGTCTCTCAATTCCCCATGATTTCTTGCAGATTTGGCGCACGGATCCATCTGGGTCTCCTCCTCCTCGCGTCCTCTATCGCAATTGGCACCGCCCAGCTCGCCAATCCGCTCAATTGCTCCGACCCAGCAAGGACGTGCTCTGCGTTCCTCCATTACATGCTCCCAGTGGATCAATCGCTCCAGGACGTGGAATCCATGTTTGATGTGTGGCCTCCAGCCATCGCGATCGACAACAACACCATGTTTGCGCCCAGCTCCTCCAATCAAACCTCCATCTTCGTGAAGATCACTTGCGGGTGCTCGTCTTCCTCGCACCTCTACGGCTATACGGTTCGAATCCCATCCCCTCCTCGCGACTTCCAAGGCTTGGAATGGAAGGAAGCGCAGAATAACACCGCCTCTGGATACACCTGGCTTCTATGTGGCTGTTCCAGTAACACCTATCCGTACCTGGTGAGCCACGTGGTCCAGAACAAGGACACGCTGGCTCTCCTTGCCCTCCGGTACGGCACCAATGGGAGCGATATCAGCCAGCTCAACCACATCGACGGCAATGGCGCGTTCTTGGCCAGCGGGGTGGTTTACTACATTCCAGTGACAACACGTACGTAGAGAAGTTTTCTAGGGTTCTTGGATTTCTTCTTCGCTGGTTCTAAATTTCTATGGCGCCCCGCCAATGCAGCTCCCGGGAGCACCGAGGCGATCGCGCCAGGCTTGGATGGTGGCGCGCAGGAGCAGCGTAAGCTTTTGTAGAGATTTGTTGAGAGGTTTTTCACGGGTTTTAGGGAATCCAGCGGTTTTTGGCGGAAAGAGAAGGAAATCTCGATTGCCACTGGGTGCTGTTGTCGGGATCGCAGCTTCTGGCGCGCTCGTGATTGCATTGGCGCTGGGGTGTGCGATTTATTCCGCAAGACGATGTTTCTTGCGAGAGCCAAAGGAGTTTCCAGTCGCCAAAACACCCGCATTTTCCAAAGGTATCTGTTCTTCAAAGGAAACGAGCAAAAACATTCCTTGATATCATTGTTTTCTTCTCAGAGCTCATGAGCAAAGTGACGAATGTTGAGAAGCCTTTGGTATTTTCCTACGAGGAAATCGAAGCAGCCACAGACTGCTTCAAGGAGAGCAAAAAGCTCGGGCAGGGAGCTTACGGCTCGGTGTTTCATGGGATTCTTCGTAATCAGGTATATGAGAAATAGTTGTGGAAAACGTTGAACTGATGAGAGTTTTCAGGAAGTGGCAGTAAAGAGAATGAAAGCTACCAAAGCAAAGGAGTTTATGGTGGAAATTCAAGTCCTCTGCAAGGCTCACCACTTCAACTTGGTAAAGCTTGCTGCAAATTCTACCAAGTCGAACGATTATTTTATTAGGTGGAGCTTATTGGATATGCTTCCTGCGGCGAGGAGCTCTTTCTTGTGTATGAGTTTGCGGAAAACAGGTCGCTCAGTGATAGGCTTCATGAGCCGCTTTCTAAAGGTATGCATCACGACATGAAATCTCTTCTTAAGTTTCAATGCGTCTCTACGCAGGATACACGCCGCTATCATGGGTAACAAGAGTACAAATTGCTCTGGACGCCGCTAGAGGACTAGAATACATTCATGATCATACAAAGCAGCATTATCTTCACCGAGATATTAAATCAAGCAATATCTTGTTGGATGGTAGCTTTAGAGCAAAGGTACGTTCTATGATGCGTGAAATGGATTTGGTTTTCTCATTTTTTATTTGGTGTCCAAAGATCGCAGATTTTGGTTTGGCAAAACTAATTGAACAAGGTGAAGAGAATGGGGTTCTTACCCGCATCGTAGGAACCTTTGGATATCTTGCTCCGGAGTAAGTACGAGTTTTATAGTTTCAAATTCGATGGTCCCCGTCCTGAGTCATTCTCTATTAAACCAGGTACATGCGTAATGGACATGCCACTACAAAGTCCGATGTGTATTCATTCGGCGTAGTCCTTTTCGAGCTCATCACAGGCCAGGAAGCGATTTCAAAAAGCAGACTCCACATCCCAAGCACTCCAGAAAGACGATCGTTGATCTCCGTTGTAAGCATCGCGTATATGTAGATAGCATTTCTCTCTCTCTCTCTCTCTCTTCTGATGCATTCTCTTAGCGCTGCAGATGCTATCAGCGTTGAAAGACGCAACCCCCGTAAGCATTGGAAGGCTAAGGGACGTAGCGGATCCAACACTGGACAACACATACCCGAGCGAGTGCTTGCACAAAGTAAGTCGCAGTCGATTTTTCGATCAAAGAGTACCTTGTGAGATCTAACTGGCTTTGTTTCGACCGGCTGAAGGTGTCAGTTCTTGGAAAGCAGTGCGTGGAGGAAGACCCTCTGCTGAGGCCGGACATGAAGCAGGTCGTGTTCACGCTCTCTCACGTTTTGTTTAACTCCATTGAGTGGGAAGCTACACTGGCAGGCAACAGCCAAGTTTTTAGCAGAATAATGCAGGGAAGATAGTTTGTGAGAAGATCGTCGTACTATAGCCTACTGCGACATTGTATTCTAGATCCATGGTACGTTTTTTCAATGAAGGCTGAGACGCTCTCGATCTTCTTTCTCTCTCGCTTTATTATTGATAATGTTAGTGAAGGATCAACAATTTCACAGGGTTGACGGACGATGTCAAAGGTTAGCTATTCACATCGAGCAAGACTTATCAATGTTGTCTTTTTGCGCTTGTGTTGGTGGCCGTCCTTATGCTTTTGGAATGTCACAGTGTAGGGGTAAAGAAGAAAATGGCGCGCCTTGCAAGCTACTGCTTACTGCGGGTGAAAAATGCAAATCATAGTACTCGTGTTACTGACACTTGAAAGGCGATGTTTTTGCAGGACGTACCTCGTAGCTTTCCAGCTGCGGGAGATGAGAAAAGGGATCCTGGTACGTGTTTCTACTGCTCTCGATGCTGGGATTCAACGTTTCGTGCTTGTACGAGAAGAGATCCACAGGCTGCTGTTGCATTTGCATGCAGCTGCTGCTGGACGCCGCCATGTTTTGCTGCTGGTGGTGGTGTTGCTGCTCCTGCTGCTGCTGCTGGTGCTGGTGCTCGTCGTAGAGATATGAACAAGAGCCCGTGCTCTGGCATCGCTGCGGCGGCCTCTTCTTGAACATCCGGCACACCACCCATCCTTCTTCCTGCGAAAAATTGGGGTACTTTTAAGATGAGAAAGATAGATTCCAAGTTTCTAGCTTACGCTGCCGCTTTGCTCGTCCTCCAGCCGGTACTCGTGCATTATCCAGTCGGTCTTCTGCCCGTTTGGCGCCCGTCCCTTGTAGAACACCAGCGTCTTCCTCATCCCAATCAGCTTGAACTTGGTGTGGATGGCTTTGTCCCTCCCTGTTGCCTTCCAGAACCCCGCTGTTGTGGCCCTGTTGGTTCGGCTCCCGGTCGGATACTTCTTGTCTTTGTGGCTGAAGAAGTACCACTCGCTCTGATCTGCCGAGCTCGCGCAATCCTCTGTGATCCCAACCTTTGTCAAAGATTTACCATTCTTGCAGAAGTTGGAATGCTCTAGAGTCTAGAGGCTACAAATTCTTCCATACCTTGCAGGTCCCATGGCTCCATCTTGTAGAGATCAATGTCCCGGATTATGTCGAGATCGATGGCCTCCGAGGACACCTTCTTGTACAGGTAGTAGCCGACGAGCTCCTCGTCCGTGGGGTGGAACCGAAAACCCGGAGGGACGTGCGAGTGGCCGTGCATAAACGGAGACATTCCTGTCCTGCAAAAAAACTAAACCTGTAAGTACAAATCTAAGCGCGAAGTCATTGGATCGTGAATTCTCGGGTGATTGTATTACTCGCTGCTGCTTCGATGGAGCTCGGCTATGTCAGTTCATCCAGCTCTTGCGACGAAGCTCAGACCCCGAAAGAAAGAAGCTCAAATGATGGAAGCTGGAGCTCTTTTGGATGGAATTCGAGAGGTGCCAGCACTGTGCAAATGCCACCAAAAGGGTAAGAGGAGAGAGCGAAAGAGAGACTATGGAAGAGATCCGAAGTGGTGTGCATGCGAAGGAAGGGAAAACCAAACCTTGGAAGAAGAAGAAGAAGAAGAAGAAGAAGCCTTGCACAAGTCAGTGAGTGAATAAAATACTGATTTCCAACCAACTTATGAGTGCTAGGCAAGTCACCTTTGGGTATTCATTTCCGAGATGAATCAAGGTTGGCTTGCTGTGCAAGAAAATGGCGGTGGGGGTCATTTTACTTGCCTTAATCTGCTCACTGCAGCATCTTCCGATTACTTGTTTTGCATTCCCGGTGTTTACACTCGCTTAATTTCAGTTAATTTGTGTGCTGCAATGTTAGATATTTTCTTGTGTCTGTAATGTTACAGATCTTTCTGTTTCCAGTTGTTGAACAGCAATCTATAAATTATACATTAGATTAGTTAACTCCAAGCTTTTACTATTCAAAATAAAAATGAATATTCTAAGGGCATATTATATCATTATGGTATGAGAGGTCCCGAGTTCAATTCTCGGTACCCCTCTCTTTTCCCAAGCTGGTCACTTTTGGGCTGGGCTGGGGGAGAAGGTAGGAGCGTAGTGTTTTTGTCTTGGAGAACTTGCGAGACAAGTGTGATTGCTATTGGTCTCCTTAGTGCGGCACGCTACACAGAACCTCAACTCGAGCACTCTTTGCTGTGTCTTGTCTTTGCGCTGGGATGAAATTGATAAGAGCCACTGGAATCGACGCAAAGGTTTTGGGATCCACAGGGTTTGGATCGCCAGAGAACAAGTCTCTTTGGAATTCTCCACCGCAATATAATTCTGTTGGGCTGCCAGTGGTTCATTATTTGATCGCCAAAATGTGGGCGAGCCTTCTAAAGAACAAGCTCTCACATCTTTTTTGCTAAACTTTGGGAGAATAATAGATGCAGAGACATGCAGTTCTCAAGTTTTAAGCTCTAGGTTGTGGCAACACAGGCATGGCGATGGGAGTGAGACCACATGATGCTCTCCTCTCCCTGGGCATCGAGCTTTTCTTTTCTTTGGATTGCCGAGATAATTTGCTTGGAAAGGCTTGGCCAAAGTCCGTCCTCTGCTATTATATTCGTATAACATTAACATTAATGGTATGTGATTTAGGCGTGGCAATAGGAATTGGTATGCTACGTGTGATGCAGCAGTGGAGCTTGGGCATGGCAATGCACTAGGCAAATTGGTGAGGCATTTAAAATCTTGAGCATTTGGGTCTTGCAAATTACTTCAAAATACATGAATATTCTAAGAGGATATTATATTATTAGTTCCAACCCAAAACATTCACTCATGAAGTTAGTATAACTCGTTTTTACAGGTCCCTTTTAAACTGGGAGTGGAGCATCCTCTGGAGCTGTAGGCACCTTGTTGAGCGCAGGAATCTCTGTGAACTCCGACAGCAACGCTCTAAACTCGTCACCCGCCATCGTCTCCTTCTCCAGCAAAACTTCGACGATCTTGTCGATGGCGGCTCTGTTCTTCCGAACGTGACCCAGCGCGATCTCGTACGCCTTGTCCGCGATGGACTTCACAGACCTGTCGATGTCCTCGGCGAGCTTCTCCGACATGCTGTTGCGCGCCATCATCCGCATGATCACGTCGCCACCTTGTGCCGAGGGATCGACGAGCGACCAAGGACCGATCTCCGACATTCCAAACACCGTCACCATCTGCAAAAAATCATCGTCATGAGCTCAGCCTCTCCCTGTGGATTCATGGAATGGAGCACGCAAAGTACCTGGCGAGCCATCTGTGTGACTTGCTGCAGATCGCCCGCAGCACCGGTTGTCATCTCTGGCTCTCCAAAGATAACCTCTTCCGCAGCTCGGCCACCCAGGGCTCCCACGACTCTGGCGAAGATTTGCTGCTTGGAGATAAGAGTTGGATCTTCACCTGGTATGAACCATGTCAATCCGCGAGCTTGTCCTCGTGGAACCAGGCTCAGTTTCTGGACGGGATCGTGTCCCTGTGTCAGTGTTCTGCAAAACACATTGATAGTCATGGAAGACTGAAAACGTAGCCGGATACTTACGCACAAACAGCGTGACCGACTTCGTGATAAGCAACCAGGCTTTTCACTTTCCCATCGGTCATGACGGTTCCTTCCATTCCAGCTACAATCCTGTCGATGGAGTCATCCACCTCTTTTGCGGATATCGCACTTCTTCCTCTTCTCCCAGCCAGGATTGCTGCCTCGTTCAGAAGGTTCGCAAGGTCCGCTCCACTGAAGCCAGGAGTTCTCATTGCAACAATGTCCAGCTTGACGTCCTCTTCAAACTTTTTGTTTGCTCCGTGAACTTTCAGAATCTCAGTTCTGCCTCTCACGTCTGGCACATCTACAGTCACCTATCGAAGGAAAGAAAAACCATTTAGGATGAACGAGCATTGCATCTTCAGACTTACCTGTCTGTCAAATCTTCCTGGCCTCAGCAGTGCAGAGTCGAGAATATCTGACCTGTTGGTGGCGGCGATCACTATAACACCCGTGTTGCCTTCAAAGCCATCCATCTCCGTTAACAGCTGGTTCAAAGTTTGCTCTCGTTCGTCGTTTCCTCCTCCGATTCCTGTGCCTCTCTGCCTTCCCACCGCATCAATCTCGTCGACGAAAACAATGCATGGAGCATTCTCCTTGGCCTTCTTGAACAGGTCCCGCACTCTCGAAGCTCCAACCCCGACAAACATCTCCACAAACTCTGACCCCGAGATTGAGAAAAACGGCACGCCAGCTTCTCCAGCAATGGCCTTGGCCAGCAAAGTTTTCCCCGTCCCTGGAGGCCCAACCAGCAGCACACCTTTCGGTATCCTTGCACCCACAGCAGTAAACCTCTCGGGCTTCTTTAGAAACTCTACCACCTCCATGAAATCCTGCTTTGCCTCGTCAACTCCAGCAACATCCGCAAACGTCACCCCAGTGTTTGGTTCCATCTGGAACTTGGCCTTGGACTTTCCAAAAGCCAGAGGATTCCCTGGCCCGCCCGGCATTCCTCCACCTCCTCTTCGTGACAAAAGAAAGAGCCCACCCACGAGCAAAAGAGGAAACGCTAAGTTTCCAAGCAAGTTGACGACGGTGGAACCCAGATCCTCCTGTGGTATATGAGCAGCAAAGTCGATGTTCTTCTCCCGGAATTTTTGTAGCAGCTCTTGGTTTAATCCTGGAAGCTGGACTCTCACTCTCTGGATCCTGTTTCCAAGCTCGGGTGACACAGCTTCCACGATTGCCACTGTTCCATTCTCAAAAAGATCCACCTTTTTAACTCGATCCATGTCCAAGTATTCCAGAAATCTCGAGTAGGACATCCTTGACGAGGCCACCCCTTGCTGTTCTTCCGCTGCTCTAGCCTTTTGAGCTACCAAGGACGAGATTCCAGCCACGCCTAGACCGATCTTTCTCAGCAATCCTCTCCTACCGGTGCTACTGCCACTAGAATCTTGCTGCTGGGATGCGACGACATGGATTCTCGAGCTCTGCACTGCCAGAGGCTGGATGCTTACCGCGAGCTTGTGGCCGAGGTAATCCTTGCCCAGCGCGCTGGAGCTAGGGCTTCGAATCGCCACAACGCTGGCTGTGGCCGACGCCATTGCTAGACGATCGTGGATTCCAATGCGAGCTACACTGCTAATGCGAGGATTTGGAGTTCTAGAGTCCCTAAAATACCTTGCTGGATCGCGCAATGCGATGTGTGGAGCGCTTGGCTCCTGGCTTGGCGCCTTGACACAACGATACGTGCTTCTAGACTGGAGGATACGTGGCACAAAGAAAACTAGTGGCCATTACTGTCCGACGTGGCGCAAGCCTACGTGGCAGACATTAAACAAAGGAGTAGTAATATAACATGATAGGTAAGTATTCTCTTATTAAATATGTTCTTTCACTCTTTCCATTTATATGATTTATAGGCTTTTTTTTTCACATTCATTTAACCAAATTTAAATTAATTTTTTTAAATTTCAATCAATGCACACTTTAAATTTATTCTATGTTACCCTTAGTTATATTTTACTATTTTAATGCACTTTAATATAACACACTGATAAAATGAGTTCTGCCAACTTTTTCATTTATTATTTGCTAAAATTAAAATTTTCATTTAAACTTTTTTTTAAAATCCTTTTTTACCTAGAAAATTTTTTTTATTTAAACTATTAAAATTTTTCTTTTTATATGTTATTCAAGGTTTTGTTTGTTTTAAAGATGTACTATAACTATAAATGTGTTATTGAAATTTTACTATAATATAAATAAGATCATTTGGCCTAGCTTTAAACTTAGAACTTTTTATTGTATCATTTTCGAGTTTCATTAACTTTTTCATGAGAAAAATTTTATAAAATATTTATCATCTTTTATTGTAAAGTAATTTTTATAACTTTTGATGGAGGAATAGTTTAAGTGATATATTCACATCTAAATTTTATGTAGTATAAATTATCTCTATTTTAGTATTTAATTAGATTTTGCTGATGTTGCATATTTTGATGGATATTTTTTTACTTATTGTCATTCATTATCATGTATCATAAAATTAGTAACAATATTTTTTATTAAATAAAATACATAATTGATGATAAACTTTAATGTTTTGGGGTTGTTTCAAATCTTTATGATCATGATTTTTGTTGGAGAATTTCCAAAAATCTATTTTATCACTCTGTCTCCTCTTACCATCTAAAAACTTATTCACACATTTGTGTAATATATACATAATAGGATTATAGTTTCATTTGATTTAAATAA